CTGAAAAACATCACATTTTTTATTTAATACATTTTTTCCCCAAATGTATAAAGTTTTCATGCATTATTCTGAATGTCCTTCATCTATATTAATGTTGTACAAGAACTGGCTACAAGCACTGGCTCCTCCTGGACACCGAGATACACTTCTGTACTGAGGACTTGTACTCTCCTCGAACTATTGACTATTAATGTGTTCTATAAAGTGTCTTTGAGTGTCCAGGAAAGTGCTGTATAAACAGTGTTGGGAAGGTTACTTTTAGAATGTATTTCCCTACAGATTACAGATTACATACTCCAAAATGTAGTTTGTAACGTAATCCATTAAATTACTTTAGGTGAGTAACGTAATCTGAATACTTTGGATTACTTGATTTGCTGTAGAGAAGCAAAGACGAGGATACTGTAACATAAGATGTTTTATCTGCTAAAAGAAAATAAAAAGCCCAGACTTTACTTAACCGTATTAAAAATATTATTGATAGAAGAGGAGGAGACACGTCCGCGCAGAATGGTTTAGTCCTGTTAAATCCTGTTTTAGACCTGTTTTAGACCTGGTTTAGACCTGGTTTAGTCCTGGTTTAGATCTGGTTTTAGTCCTGGTTTAGATCTGGTTTAGATCTGGTTTTAGTCCTGGTTTAGACCTGGTTTTAGTCCTGGTTTAGACCTGGTTTTAGACCTGGTTTTAGTCCTGGTTTAGACCTGGTTTAGTCCTGGTTTAGACCTGGTTTAGACCTGGTTTAGTCCTGGTTTAGACTGGTTTAGTCCTGGTTTAGACCTGGTTTAGACCTGGTTTAGTCCTGGTTTAGACCTGGTTTAGAACTGGTTTAGACCTGGTTTTAGACCTGGTTTAATCCTGGTTTAGACCTGGTTTTAGTCCTGGTTTAGACCTGGTTTAGATCTGGTTTAGACCTGGTTTAGACCTGGTTTAGACCTGGTTTTAGTCCTGGTTTAGACCTGGTTTTAGTCCTGTTTTAGACCTGGTTTAGTCCTGGTTTAGACCTGGTTTTAGTCCTGGTTTAGATCTGGTTTAGATCTGGTTTTAGTTCTGGTTCAGACCTGGTTTAGACCTGGTTTAATCCTGGTTTAGACCTGGTTTTAGTCCTGGTTTAGACCTGGTTTAGATCTGGTTTTAGACCTGGTTTAGACCTGGTTTTAGTCCTGGTTTAGACCTGGTTTAGACCTGGTTTTAGTCCTGGTTTAGACCTGGTTTTAGTCCTGGTTTAGACCTAGTTTAGACCTGGTTTTAGTCCTGGTTTAGACTTGGTTTAGTCCTGGTTTAGACCTGGTTTAGACCTGGTTTTAGTCCTGGTTTAGACCTGGTTTAGAACTGGTTTAGATCTGGTTTTAGACCTGGTTTAGTCCTGGTTTAGACCTGGTTTAGACCTGGTTTTAGTCCTGGTTTAGACCTGGTTTAGAACTGGTTTAGACCTGGTTTTAGTCCTGGTTTAGACCTGGTTTAGAACTGGTTTAGACCTGCTTTAGACCTGCTTTAGACCTGGTTTAGACCTGGTTTAGACCTGGTTTAGAGTCCAGCAATGAGTGGAATTACTGAGAAAAAAAAAAAAGGGATAGAGCCCAAAAATGTGAAAACAGGAAAATACCTCTGTGTAATCCATTTATTTCAACAAAGTAACTGTAATCCAATTACCACTCACTGAAACAGTAACTGTAACTGAATACAGTTACTCATAATTTGTACTCTGATTACATAACTCTGGTACATGTAATCTGTTACTCCCCAACACTGTATATAAATAAAATGCATTATTATTGACTTACAGCACTGAGACCTTTGTTTGAGCTTCTATTGTTCTTACATTTACACCCTGGGAATAAATAAAGTTATATTGAATTAAAGGGAAGATTAATCATAACTAAATTACAGTTTGATTGGTTGTAGTTAGTCAATGCGCTCCTCACTTAATTATTCTGAAAACAATTAAATACTCTGTGTTATTATGTGTAAATGAGTGTGAATCTTGTGTTAGTTTAGCAGTTCATTATTCAGCTTAGATTTGTCTTTTATAGGAGTGTAACGATATCCAAGTCTCACGATACGATATTGTCAATGACGATATGATATTTATTGCAATATCGTGGGAATGCTCGTGATAAGATGTGGAGGCTCATGATTAGGGATGTAACGATATCCTAATCTCTCTGTACGATATTTTCATGATATACATCTCACGGTACGATATTTATTGCGATATTTTGTGGAGGCTAATATCTTACTTTTTGACTTAAACCAAAGAAATGTAGGTAATATGATTAACTGAGATTCGGGAGCAGGACCACGCTCTCCTCTCACCAGCGAACCACAACTCACCTCGACCACGCCTCTAATTTCCCAGAAGCCTGTATGTAGCAGCCTTTTCCCATCATCCCAGTTTGTCTCGGCGAACTCGACCCCATCCTCCCACCCCTTATTTTGTTCGTCTTTCAGTCATAAGACGCCTACGAGGGGGGTCTCGTTCCGGCTGGGCCAATTGAAGGATTGAGACGGAGCTCCCACCCAGAGTCTCAACCCAAACATCTCTGCCTCGCTTTGTACATTATCAATAAACTTCTTTGCGCTATGTCATTGTTGGCGTGGTCCTAACTAGTGAACTAAGACTTAAAGGTTGTATGGAGGATTTTTTTTGTTTCAAATTGTCAATGATAGATTATAGAGGTGCAGTAGCCTTGTAATTATGATGACCAAAAAAAAGAGAATAAAAATTCATCAACTCTGGACGTGGTGGGGCCAGATAAACATTTGCCAATAGATAACGACACTGCCTCGTTATCTGTGAGCTGATAGGCTGTCAATCAATCTAGTGTAACTGACTTGCCTGTACGTTGCCGTTACGTGGTTTGCGTACGTCTGTCACGCAGTCCACAGACGCAAGACGCACAGACGCTGTTTACTCCACCAACGCAACAGTTCTTAGCGGCTTTTTTTGACCTATATCTTCCTCGCAGTTCGCACAAAGTTTGTTGCAATGGCGACAAGAATCCAGGAGCAGTTCGCCGCAAAAGAAAGTCAGTTTTTGAGGTCGCTGAAAGAAGAAGACAAGGGGAAAAGCAGCGAAGCCAAACTAAGGTGATTCTTGGAGATTCATTCCAGCGATGGCGCGACTGAAGCAGACGCAGGGTCTAAAGACTGACGCACTGGTCGCACAAATTACTCCTGGACAGGTCACTTCTGCTTATTATGAAAACGTACTTTATTTCCAAGAGCTAGACAAACGTTTTTCAAGACACAAATGCGATATCCTGTGTCTGAAAACGTAATTTTCAATGCAAAGAAAGAGTCCGCTTATTGCTGCGTGTTGTAGTAGTAGCTTCATTCGCACTGAATCTCCGCTCAACCTTCCCTGCACCCCTTACTGCTCATCTCCTCTCTCCCCGCTCCGCTCTTCTCCCTGCTCCTCACTTCTTTTCCGCACACGAAATGTCCGCGCACCCCTTCCCCTCGCTCCTCATTTCTCCGCCTTGCCTAACCAACACTGTAGTTAGTTGTTTACAAGTCATGTGCAGCGATGAGCACTTGTTTTCTAGAAACAAACCTGTTTCTGGGGTAAGGAGGAGGCGGGAGGAGGCGTTTCTACGTAGGAGCTGTAAGGGAGGGGGGGGGGTTTCACAACATTTGAAAAAGGACAAACAGTCGCTGGATTTCTCGTTCCTTGGAAAATCCTCTATACAACCTTTAAAAGTGTTTAGAAGTGTTATTTCTTCTTGTAGTCTGCACTGAAATGGAGCAAAGGATCATGGTCTCTGTAGTTCTCTGTCTTTTTTTTAGCTATTTCTGCACCATAACTCTTAATTTAAGCAAAGAGACTTGTAATTCGATATATTGTGATGGTCCACGATATTATTGTGAGAACTTTGACGATACGATATCACGATATTTCGGTTATTGTTACATCCTTAGTTATTTATGTTTTAATAAAAGGATTCAGTTCAAATTTCACATCGTAATCACATCCAGAATAAATTATAAACATAAAAAGACTGACATATGAACTGACAAAACGAATACAAGAATCACGGTTCATTTTTCACATTTCAGAACATGTTTGTACAGATCTGAAAAAGGGTGAGCTGTTTTTAAAGCAGAATAAAACTGGATATTTTGTTGTTTGGGGAGGAAATTGTAGTACTTCAAAAACTGCAGCCTTTGTGATTTGTTAATTACGTTCATTCAAATTGTGATTTCAAAGCGATTGTGATTTCGCAGTCCAGTTTTCTACTACTGATCATGTTTACTATCAAATTAAATGAAAAATCTGTATTATTATGAATTATTTTTTCAGGTTTTCGCTTTCGAGTCACTGTTGTTCCCACTGCCTGATTGCTTGACCCGCGTTTTGACCCGCGGGGGTTTCCGTAGCTGCCGTAAGTGATTATCTGTCACTGTAAAGAAGTGCTGGTCATTAAAATAATACGGAGGTGGCCGTGTCTTTAATTTTTCATTGCTTCATCAGAATTTCTTGTTAATCTGTTGATATGACTGTCTCATCCATCAGCGCTCGGCCAGGGAACATAATGCGTTAAGATTCCATTAACCGAATTAGCAGCATCAGCGAATTTCAGCGACTGTGTGCTCAATGATATAAAAGTTAATATATTTTTACATCAAGTACGTGCATGTAAATTAAAACAGTGTATGGTATATTGAGCTTGATAATGGTAGATTAAGTGTCAATAAATGTTGCCATATGAAAACAAGACTGACAGACATTTCAGTTTTATTGTCATGATCTTAAAATGTCTAAGTCCAACTTAGAATAAAACGCAAAACACAATACTAAAGGTGAAGTGTAGTTTTTGACATAATAGTAGTTTTTGTAATATTATTATGAGGTTTTATACCAATTCTAAACTAGATGAAGAGTATTTAAAGGGTCATATTATGCTATTTTCTGGTGATCTATGTTACAATGTTGTTTCCTCATCATAAACATACCTGGAGTTGTTTTTGTTGTTGTTGTTTTTTTTCATTCCCATGTTTAT